CCAGAAATCTATTACCCAGAACACGATGCGCAGTTCCTTTCTGGTCATAGTAAATAATTAACATGTAACATTACAGCATGTCCCAGGTGTACCCTTAGAGTGTACTGTCTAGGGCAAAGGAATTGCCCCTAGTATTAACGGGTTTCCAAGCAGAGCTGAACTATCTGATGCAATGTGCTGAGGCTAACCCAGGAAATACTTCTACTACTAGATTCCATACCCTGAAATAAGTATGAATAGTGATAATGAAGAACAATGACAGCAGCAACTCTCACTTTATGGAATGAGCACTGAGTGGGAAGGCAGGAGAGTTACTAGAAAGTGCATTCATCTTTTTCAGGCTGTATACAACAAAGATGGCTGATGTCATCTGGCTAGGCACAGCCTTGACAGCGTGCCTAGGGCCTGCAGGCAGGTCAGAAGGGGCGATGCATCATTCCTAGCAGTGCTAAGAAGAGTGCCAGGATGAGATCTGCCAGGAATGAATTCTGGCCTGGCCAGGTCAAGGCTCCAAAAGCCACATGAACTGAGCAGTGTCACTTGAAAGATGAGAAGAGCAGCAGATGCCCTTTTGCCCCTTTGGTGCCATTCCTGACCCACCACACAGAGCCTTGTGGGAGCATCGAGCTCTCTGAACCAGACAGACACTCCCATGTGCAGCATATTCTCACTCACACCTATTTATGAGGCTCAGCAGAGCAAAGGAAACCAGAGCTGACCATGACCCTTTCTGGTCAGTACTTTTAACCTGAGCCCAAGAGGGACTTGTCTTCTTTGCAGCACTAAGCCTGTCCGTTACAGTGTGGGGTCAGGATGTTGGGCTCACCAGCTCCCTGCTCTGGTGAGCCACAAACCTTTGGCTTTGCCACAGTTGAGCTTCCAGGAGGGAGATACGCAGCTCCCACACAACCCTGTAAAACACTCCCATGGAGGTTTCCATCAGACAGAGTCCCTCATGGTTTCAGCTCAGCCGGCAACAAAGCACAAGGCTGCTCGCTCACTCCTCTCCCCATCCCTGTGGGATGAGGAGGAGAAAATATAAAGAAAAGCTCATGGGTCAAGACAAGGACAGGGAGGGATCACTCACCAATTATGGTCACGAGCAAAAGACTCAACTTGGGGAAAAAACAACATCAGTTTCATTTACTACCAATCAAATCAAAACAAGGATAATGAGAAGGAAAACCAAATCTTAGAACACCTTCCCCCCACCCCTCCCTCCTTCCCAGCTCAACTCCACTCCCGATTTTCTCCACCTTCTCCCCCCCAGCGGCGCAGGGGGACGGGGAATGGGGGTTGGGGTCAGTTCATCCCACCTTGTCTCTGCCGCTCCTTCCTCCTCAGGGGGAGGACTCCTCACTCTTCCCCTGCTCCAGTGTGGGCTCCTCCATGGGCTGCAGGTGGGCATCTGCTCCCCTGCTCACCTCCATGGGCTGTAGGAAGACAGGCTGCCATTTCACCAGGGACTGCAGGGGCATCCCCTCCTTCTTCACTGGCCTTGCTGTCTGCATAAGGGTTTCTCTCACATCCCACTCCCCTCCCCTGCTACAGGTGTCCCCTCTTAAATACATTCTCCCAGAGGCACTACCACTGTTGCTGATGGGCTCAGCCTTGGCCAGAGGCAGGTGCAAACTGGAGCCTGGGAAGCTTCTAGCAGCTTCTCACAGGAGCCACCCCTGCAGCCCCTCCATGGCTACCCAAACCCTGCCACACAAACCCAAAACAGTCTTAGGAAGAACTTGTGCTTGCTCTGCTCAGCATTCAGGCTTGAGGATGAGGTGACTCCGACAGGAGCAGTGTGTCGTTTAAACCATTAAGCCAGCCACAGGGGAGGTAGGTAACTCCAAGGTCAATAACGTCATGACATTTCACTCCTTGTAATGTTTTCTGGAGGTATAACACTCCCAAGGACACTGGCATTAGTTTTGTTGATACGCTCAGAAGAGTCATTCCAATAAATGAATTGGCCCTAAATGACACCTGTACACATCTCCCCACCCTCCTCTGCATTCGAATCACAGCAAGATTGTAGTCTACCACAAGGCTGGAAACCACTTTGCACAATGAATATTGATCTCTTTATGCCTTGACAGCTGACACGTTGATGAGACGGCGGAGGGGGAAGCGCTCATCAGCATGCTGAACACAGAGGCAGAGAAGAGCAAAGCTAAATGCAGTGGAGGCCTCAGCCAGTTTGGCCTCAGCAGGAGATGACCATTCAGTCAACCCTGAGGGCAGCATTTACTGCCCCAGAGCAGGATTCACCCCTCAGGCTCGCAAGGAGACCACATTCCCCTCCCTGCCTCCTGCAGCCAGGGAGGGCAGCCATGCACAGCCCCCCTCTGCAGCCGACCTTCTGTTCTTTCTGAAGAATGTGTCAACAGATACCAGCTTATGTAGTTGTAAATTCCTTAAAGGCCTTCCTGTGTCTGGTCTCTGAAGAAAGAGTAGCTGAACAAACATATTCCTTTGCCCCGCACAGAGTCACTGCTTAGTCAGGGCCTCTGCTTAGGAGATTAATAACCATTCTCTCGGCCATTATGGAGCTATGGGCAGGTATCAGGTGAGAAAGCAAAGGAGTAGAAAGGGAGGTATCTCAGGGGAGCTTATTAGCTGAAATAGCTAATGGGACCTGAAGTGCCTCTGAGGTTCTTGCTGAGCTGCTGCTTTGTGGCACCTGTTTCCATTTCCCTGAATTAGTTTCAAGTGTGTTTTGGAGGCACTACCATTGCTGTCCTTTTTGCTTTGATTCTGTGAGACAGAAACACAGATCCCACCTCAGCCAGGGTTACCCATGTCCCACTGGCTGATGCTGCATCTACTAAACTGATTTCCACCTATTTGAAGATTTCCACATAATTAAAGAATCCCAATACAAATGAACTAAACCCCTATTGAAGGAAAAAATGCTTTTAAACAGTCCAGCAGATAATGGTGTTTTAAAAGCCCCTGCAAGAACACATAGCAATTATGGAATCTGCCTACTTTTGTTAAGAGAAACATAGCAAGAAATCAACACCGCAAACTGCACTAACATCTCAGCAGAAGCTGAGGAGTGCCTATTCTGACCATTTATGTCTGTAGGGACCAAGAGACCTCACCAGCCTGTAGAGTCTGATTCAAAGAAATTAACTCAATAGTTTAACTATTAAGTAGGTATTCTTTATTGGCAGCGCTGGATGCACGGGGGATCGCTCCACCTATCGTGCACACGGTCGGGTCTAATTGTGCAGGTTAAGTACATGTTCTACATACATATTCACTAGATTTCTGAGAAATGTTATACATATTCATTAGTTTTCCAGGAAACTATTAGCATATGCAAATGTCCTTTACGCAGGCGCATTGAAGGTCTCTGGTGGTCTTTCATAGTCTTCCTCACTTGTCCGCTATTTGACCCTCCTCAGGTGATTCTGCACAGTATGGTCTTTTACATGTTTTGATACATCAGTGCTTGTTAGTGCTCTTATTATCTAAGTTTTCATTAGTGGTGTACAACCATATGGTTAGTTTAAGCTAAATTATCTACAAGGATGAGAACAAAGGCAGGAGTTCTTATCTTTTCTGGCCCTATCTATTCAAGCAAGGCCTCTACTTGTGCCTTCTCAACAAGATCGTAAATTCATCAAACATTTAATTAAGTTTTGTGATTGCTCATGGTTCCTTCTTGTTCCATCACTCCCAAGTACCAGTCCCTGACAGGCTTAATCCTTGAAAAACACCAGTCTTTGGTATTAAAGTTACAGAGAGACAATCATTAAGCAATTAGCAGTTCATTCTCTATATCAAGTCCCTGGGAGGTCTCCCAGGTGCCGGTTCTGGAGCGGTTTCCTCAGGGTCTGTTCCTAGAGCAAGAGGTCAGTCCACTCTCCCTTACCAAGTCAGGGTCCATGCCAGCTGGAGACTGCTTCACCCCAGCTTGCCCTGACACCATCCACCACCTCGGCCCAGCCCTGTGACAGGGAGAACAGTGGTAGTGAGGTGCCTTTGGCTGCTCCAGCTCAACACCGGCACTTTTAGCTGAATGTCACCCCCACTTCTTAACACACAACAAATATAGTCCCGAGGGCCTTACACTCTGTGTGTCCTTTCATAGACCATATGCTTGTGTTTGCAAGTAGCAAGGGCTCAGGAATTGGTGGGGCCTGGGGAAGCACCCAGACTGGAGGCTTGATGCTGCAGCAGAACAGGCTCTGCACACTGCAGCAGGAGACAGCCCAGCCACCCTGCTTTGGCACTGTGCACTAATCCAATGCTGGTCAATGATACCCTGAGGCAGGGCATATTCTACCCTGACTGCCCCCAAATCCTAAGGCTAATTAAACACAGAAAAGACCCTAGACACCCAACAACCCCCGAGATAAGACACATAGACAACAGCCTCCAACCAATTCCCCTCTCAGAGTGCAAGGGCTGGGAACTCCACTTTCTACGCTGGCAGCAGCCACCTGTGTGCCCCCAGGGCACTGATCAACACCTGTGTCACCCAGCAGGTCCTCATCCCTTCACTGGCTCTGTTCAATTCAACTGTGCAAATGACTGCTCCTGAACTCTGCTATACAAGAGCTTGCTTGCAACACAGCATGTGGCCTTAGCACACAGCTTTCTTGGAGGGCAAGCTACCTGCAGTCCTGTGGTTGGTGACAGTGGGTGTTTTCCTGAACACCTTAAATCCTGGATGCAAAAGTGGACAGGGAATTTCTGCTGATCCTGCCTTCAAAGCAAGGCTGAAAGCTTCATGTCTGTAGAGAAGAGTTCGAACATGAGTGCAGACCAGAGGGTGGGGGAGAGAAACACAACATTCAAATTACTGAAGTAAAAAACAGATCCACCTCAGGGCTATGAGTCCACCTCAACTTTTCAGGGAGCCAGGCTTATGTGTAGGGGGATAGGGCAGAGCAGAAGCTTCTACAACATGCATCTTTAAGTCCTAAGTGGACACAGTGAAGAATTAACAAAAGGCAAGAGAGGCATAAAAATGTATAAGGCTTCCCCCCACACCTCCGATAGATTTTCTTCAAGTTTAGGAAACAAAATCTAACACTGGACTTCCATCAACAGGCTTTTCAGATGCTCTCTGTGGCAGACCTAAATGGTAGAAACTAACATTCACATTCCAAAATAGCCAGGATCTGCCACTGACTAAGTATGATCCAGTTCACTTCTACCTCCTTGCCTTTCTTCTAGTAGAAGTGAGCTAATATTGAACTCAAATAGACTTTTCTACACTCAACAAAAAACCCACTGCTTTCAGTGTAGCTTGCAAAGCAGAGCTGTGTTTGGACCGACCCACAGGCCTACCAGCTACAAGAACTACAAGATCATTTTTCAGCCAAATAAACCAGCGTATCCAGATCAGTGCAGCCCCACTTCTCCACCTCCAGTGTATGGACAGACCAGCCAGAGGATTTATGTAGGTTACAGAACATACACATACAAAACACATTTGCTAAAATCAGATACTCACTCACTGTATTCCCAGCTGGCTTGAAAGAACAATACATTTCATAAATGAAAAATTCCATGAAACTGCTAATGGGTCAGTATCACAGCCTTCTGCAATTGTCACAGAAATCTCATGAAAACTGAATTACTAAAAAACAAAACCCCCATTGTGTAAGTAGCACATTGCTGTCACACTGGCTCTGGTAACAAGCCCATTAATAAGGTTAAGGTAGTTACTATAACAGATGGAGCATGTGTGGGGCTGGCTGTAAAAATCATATTTATCTTTCTTGCATTAAGGGCAAAAGGTTGGTTTTGCATGTGTGTGTGCGTGTACACATGAATGTGTGAGTTATTCTTTTGCTGTGAATCCTTTGCTTGTGACAATCAGCTAACATGTGGAAATTGGCCTATATGGCACATACTGCTGGAGTTTGAGACAAAGGATTGTTTGCTCCACCCAGACAAAAAGATTCGTATCTCAACAAGCAGAATGAGGTCCCCAGCTAGGCGAGGGACACCACATCAAACTCTAGGGAACCAGAGGGGGGACAGGAACCAGCAATGCTTAGTCCATGCTACTTGCATTAAATGTTCCACAAGCCACAATGCTGTTGAGGAGTAGAGAGGTTCACAGATGGCTTGGAATTCATCAGAGGAACCATTCAGCATTTCACATAGCTCCTTGGTCTTCCAGGAGAGGGGCGGGGGGGAAAGCAACCATAGCTTGAGCCTTCATCTATACCCCTTCCACCTGCCCAAAGACTGGTGCCATTCTGCCAATATCTTGTGGGAATGGCACTCATTATGATCCTTCAATTTACTCTTGCTTGCTTAGTTATTCTCACACTGTCTGTATCCGTTTTTCCCCTCTGTTCACTTGTAGCTAACTACTGTTAGTTTGTTCTCTGCCAGCAGGTATAAGAATAACCCCAGTGCTTTGGCAGCCTAAGCTTTCCCCCTTAATTACAGCTGAAGCCTCTTTTCAACACCTTATCCAAATATTACTGGAAGCAAGGAACCACCTAAGTCTGAGAGAGGGCCTTTCAGTGGCTGTATTTGCTCCTGTTGCTGGCAGTAATGACACTGGAGATAGGGCAAGCACATCTGTCTCCTCCTGGCATGTTTATAGAAACTTCCACTCCACACTAGCACAGTGTACAGCACAAGACCTGCTAAAGGCAAGGAGGCTATTTATTGCTGACAAAGGGACACATGCAAAGATTGCACACACACATACATACTTATATTACTCAGGGAATTTTTAGCAGTTATGCTAAACACCTCCAAAAACATTCTAGACTAGACACATTGCCTCTGCTGGCATAATTTTTGCCTTTAGGTAAGAAATCTGTGTTACCAGTCCTAGTGCATTAACTGAGTACAGTCAAAACGAACCAGAAGATCTAGGATTTATACCATTTAAAATAATGCAGTTCATTAGACAGAGGCAGGTTGACAAGTGCTTGCACAAGCACCTCACACAGGAGAGCTCAAAGAACACTTTCCCCAGCAAGGGGCTAAAATACCTACTCAGTTATGTAAGTACTGCCAGAATAAAGCATTAAGTCTGTGGTTTTATCCTAGGACCAGGCAGCTTATTTTCAGGTTTTTTTTTTTACACAAGATAAACCAACTAAAAATCACATAAGCAGTAGAAGACATTAGGATGTTATGCTCAGAAACCTCAGGGCGGTAACAGGTTGATAAAACTTGCTTTAAAAAAAACATGTAAGCGGTTCAAGTTTGTAAGCCAGCATTCCAGTTTCACAGGCTAGTTTTGGATGTGGGGTATTGCCAAAGAAAGCAGCTGAGGTCAATGTGGAAAAGTTTCTGTAAATGAACTAAAGGATATTACTGAAAAAATTACACCAAGGAAAGAAATAACACACATAAAACAGATGACAGTTGTTCACTTAAAAAACAAAACAAAACAAATCCTCTCTGTTGATGCATTTTCCCCTACCATAAGTCAGAAAGAGGCTACACTGGAGAAGCAAATACAAAATTAATTTGGAACAGAAATACCTCGAAGTATGCTGTACAACTGGGACTTCCACTGTGTACATTTTCTCTTTTACATTTTTCACGTGACTTTTGAAAGTCAAGTGCAAATTTTTCATAGAAAAACAGTAACAGATGCAGCTGCAGAGTTTGTGGAAAGAAAATACGCTTGGAAGAGCATTCAGTAGGACAACCTTCTCTGCCTAATGCCATAATGAAAAGAGCCTCCAAACTTACGAACTTTCTAATTCTATTTAACTTTATGAAGATGTAACGCTATGGGAAAGCTCAGGGCATTTATACAACATAATAAAACAGTATATACAACATCCCTGCCCACCTTTGTACAGAGATACAGATTTCCAATATAGCTACTTTTCAGTGTGAAACTTTCTTCAAATTCACTGAATGTAAACCAACCAGCCAACTTCATTCTACTCACTTCAACAATAATGTTAGCAGATGTCCCAGCTTTGGGGAAAAAAAAAATAAATAAAAAAGTGGGTATCTGCAGCTATGGAGTCAAATAAGTTTCATCTGTTTCCAACAGAAAAAATAATTTACAGATAGCTTCAGCATGACATAGCACACACTGGATAGCCAATTTCTTTTTAAACGAGGAACTGTTACACAATGTTTTACAGACATTTTAGCTGTAAAAGCATATTCTATTAAAAAAACCCAACAGTTGTGATGTCACCAAACATTGTAAGTGGAAATAAAACACATGACACATTGTATAGAAAGTCTAAACATCTGTAACCACTTATGTTCACAGACAGAGCCGTGCTACAGAGTGGATGTGGTTAATTACTGTTTGATATACTAGCCTTCAGCACACAGGAGACGGTGATGAAGGATAAGACTTGCAGCCTGACCTGTGCCATTGTCCAAGTATAACTGACATTCTAGTTGGGTTTCAAGGGATCTTTCCTGCCTTATCCCAAAGCCACAGATACTAAATATCTCACCACAGGCGGCTTGCATAAAAGACAAATAGTTACACTGAACAGGAAAATGCATAAAATAGGAAAAAATGGAGAACAAGCAGCTTCCAAAAAACAGCCACTGTCCAAGAGCATAACTAGAAATAAATCCCTTTTAGCAGGGTAAAGAAACAAACTATTCCAGCTTCTATTTTCTGGTCATTCAGAACACAGTTAGGTTGGTGAAGAACTATTTTTTAATCATTACCTTTTTGTTGTTGTTCAGCTCAGTGCCCAGATTTCTGAGTTTTAGGTTTTGTCTCTTAAGAGCGGAATGACTAAAGAAGTGCTTCAAGAACCGTTTCTAAAATGATGTAACACGCTGAGGAGACCCAGGACATTTGTCATGCAGCTGTGGAGTCTGAGGGGCAGCTGACATGAGCACACATCGCCCTCTTGTGCTTTTGCTCTGAAAATACTTACTTTCTGCTCATTTTGTAGGCAAGCTTTAATTGAATGTCCTTTTTTTCAGGACAGTTGAAACAGCGCATAAATCACAGTCCCACAAATATAAAACCAGTAAGAGTCCAGGAGGAAACAAGGCTCATCGCCGTCTGAATGCACGTGATATCCTCCAAGCATTGGGCTCCTCATAGCGATTGTACAGGGGTTCCAGTCGCTGCTGCTTTTTCTGTTTGCTGAGCTTGGTTGGATCAGAAACCTTGAAGAAAGCTGGTGCAAACTCCACCAGCCAGCGAGGATCAATAGTCGTCACTTCACGCATATATTCCTTGGTGGTTAGCACCAGTTCGTGATATACCACCCTGTAAAAAGGGACAGCAACTCTGGAAATCAGTTTTTCCAAACAAGAGAGAAGGCAAGGGGCTGGAGTATCTAAGCTTGCCCCTTTACCTCTGTTTTACCCTCGCTCAGCATAAGGGTCCTTATAAGCTCCAACACAGGCTCCAAAAGAACCATCCAGAAGAGCTACCTTCTTTTTCCTCTCCTACGTCACAACTACTCTTCAGCATAGAACTACTTCATTCCATTTAAAACAATTCTCTCTCTCCTCACTCCGACCCTCTCCCTCAATGCTCAGTGTTTTAAACTCACTTCCACAATACAGAAACACAGAACTGCAGGCTTCAGGCCTGCCCTTGGCTCAAAAAGTAAGTCTCATCTCTGCACAGGCACTAATTCTAGCAGCAGGAAAAGCCAAAAGCAGACTTGAAACTTTTCTCACTCTGCTCATTGGTGAGAAATCAGCAGCCTATACTTTGATCTGTACTCCACAAATCATGCACACCACAACCTTTTCAGTTATACAGTCTGAACTGAAATAGAAAATTACAGGACACTGCCTTCCTTACCATTCTGGCTGCCTGTTGAAAAGAGCACTCGATGGGTGGATATAGACTACTTGTTGATCAATGAGTGTCCGATAACCTTCCTGGGGATCCTTCTTTGCTGCATTTCGGAAGAAGCCACTACAGATGGCCTTCTGGACTCGAACTGTTGCCTTCCCACAGGATACCACATCCAGCTTGTGCCTGACAGACAAGAGTTGGGGGGGGGGGAAGAGTTCTCCAGATTTGGGTGCAGCTACCAACATCAGATTAGCAAATTTTGTTTAGCTACTATAGTGCAAGAACACTAAGAAAACAAAGTCACTACTTGTCCTTCTCGTCATGCTCACCTGTCCATAATGCCCAACATCTGCTTGCGGATGTCCTGTGCCCTGCGTAAGGACCGGGCCTGGATAAAATTTTCATAGCACCAGGGATTTGAAAACTTATTATTCTTCCAGGAATTGTACACAGCCAGCAGAGTGAGGTGGTCACCTTCTGTCTGATGGAATTTGGCTTTCTTTTGGTCAGCAAGTGCTTGTTTATCCTAACACATAAAATATGTATCAATCAGGTATCTACATTGCAGAGACAATCCTTGTGCAACGTGAAGGACATGGGCTGCTTGTCATTCATACCATGACTTTTTAAGTCTACCAAGGTAAGACTGAGAAGACAACACATAATTTTCAGTGGTGAGTGACTAAGGACCAAGTGATGAAAATCCAAAAGTCACTGGGACCGCTCTCACTAAGCCAAAACTATGCCTGTATGAAAGGAAAGCCTAGAACTGTTTTCACCAAAGAGAGATCTCATGTAGATTCTCCTAAAGACTCTCCCATGGGTGACAAGGACCTGACTGAAGAATTTTTTTTTTTCCAAACTGATACTTTTATTCAATTTCAGTCCTATTTTTGAAAAGACACTTCAAAGTAAATGGCTTATTTATACTGTAGGCAGTATATGCATGCACTGAACTAGCAAGCTTTTTATTGCTCTAGAAGCAACCTCAATCACTCATCAACAAAGTTGCTGAAGCAGTAGCTTTGACCCTGCTGACCTACCCACTTCTCCAACCTGCAGATAAAACATGAATCAAACACTGTGGCTACATAGGTCAAAACTGAAGTTAACAGACTAAACTGCAGCAGGCCATCATAATGAAGAAACAATGGATTCAAGAAGAGTCATCTGCTGTTGAGGAATCCTACCACAGCATAGTCTGCTGCTTGCTGACTTAAAAAAAATCAGCACATGATAGGATTGCCAGGAAGAAATACATTCTGTGTATCTGAAAATGACAAAGGCATTCTGAACTCCAGAGCTGGGACTGACTTGGTTTAGGGTTGTATGTGTTTACCGGGAAATGCAAAAGGGAATGTGAGACCTCTAACTTCCATCTTCCCATCTGCAAAGAAACTACCAACATCCACAGCTACAGGGTGTTTAACCAAAAAAAGGTACATCAGAAATGTAATGTATGAGCGAACAGCCTTAACCAAGCTACAGGTTTATTTTGGCAAATATGCTGACTCTCTAACACCTGAGGCAGGCACACAAAACCATCCTAACCGTAACACTGTTGCTCTTGGCTGCATTCCTTACCTTTGGCCTGTAGAACACATTCTGTACAGAAAGCATGGAGACTATTGTCAACATTTCCTCACTGCATCCCAGATGTACAGACATGATCAACATCTTACACAACATAGGCTCCAAGGGGAATTCTGCCATCTGCAAGAAACCTGTTTCAGGGTACCTGCAACATCTTGGAAAAATCTTGAGTTCTCCCCATGCAAAAGAGAGCAATGTCCTTTCTTCTGTGCTTCCTTTCCAAATCAGTGTGCTTTACCCAGAATAACTTTGCTCAACATGAAGCAAATTATTTGTCTATATTCACTATCACAAGAATATCCCAATACTTACAGGAAATTTTTAGACATTAACAAAAGTAACCTTACGAATAAGGAGAAAAATAGCTGCTTCTTAAAAAAGCAGAAGGTATGTAACTATGGTAAGTGAAAAAGCTACCAATAAAACACAAGAGAATAATAGGAAGAGGAAACCAACAGTGTTAGGCAAGTCCTCGTACAACTACTCTCATGTTACCCCCTAAGTATTTGCAACCGAGCCACTGCTAAGAAGTATTCTATTTTGCCTACCCTGCGCCCAAGTCGAGTGAGCAGTCCCTCATCATCCAGAGCTCCCAGGGTGTACAGCTGCTCCATGGCAGTTATGAGAGTTTCCATTGGAGGAGCATCCATAAAGTCAAAGGAGAGCAAATCATTGATGCCCATAGCCTGAACAGAGGGAGTGGAAAAAAACGAAGTTAAAACACTGCAAAGGAAAACACCAAATTCCAGCCAGAGATATATAACCATCAAACAATGCGGCACTACAGAACTTTAAGCAACCCTAGCCTCATGTCCTTATCCTGACTGTAACCACAGTCACAAATACATGGCTCTATTTCTACACTTGAGATAATCCACATTGACCCATGTCTTTCACCCACCATTCAGTTTTACAGTCTGTTTTCTTTGGTACTGTTCCATATATCTCTCACGCAAGATGATTCAATCAAGGAGACACATAGGCTCAATGCTGGTTTTGAGGACTTCCTGCCTTGTAAACCAGTGTGGCTTGACAGCTCCAATGGACACTAAACATGTCTGTAACCTTCCCCTTGTTACCAGAAAGGAGGAAAAGCAGCAGCTTCCCCAGCTGCTACGTACTGAGTTAGACCCAGTTTGCGGACTCCCAGAGGAACGGTACACACTTAGAAGATGCATATGTTTGGAGATCAGAAATCACTCTAAAATGGTGTGCCTTATGTGTTAACAACAGAGATGTACTTTACATAGGAAAGGTGTACTGCCCGTAAGACTCCTGTTTCTCAAACCTGCAACTAACTGTTCTGTGCAGCTGAGACTTGTAATTTAGGTGGATATTCAACATTATAACCCTCAACAGAAAAATACAGGAGCAAGCTCAGTGCCTGAGAATTGCATTTGATGCAGTCTCCATTCCAAAATACCTCTGTTCACTAGAAGGATCTGAAATTGCAGAAGTACTTCATGAGGCTCAAAGGCAGAGATTCATTTATTGAAATACTTATGATCACGTTGGCTTGCTACAAGTTGGTGAAATACCCACCTTCAGGGAAAGTACTGTACTGGCCAAATTTGTTCTCTGGATTTCAGGCACATTGGTGGTTAGCATTTCATCTCGATAAGCACGCTCTGTATACAACCTATAGCATTTTCCTGGTCCTGTTCTCCCAGCCCTTCCTGCTCGCTGCTTTGCTTGAGCCTAAAGGTAACAAGGCATCTCAGTGAACAGGTGCAAACCGGCAGAGGAAAAAAACAAGTAAAATAAATTGATTAATTATTCACAATTTTACTAGTGTTAACAGAAAGAGATTTCCAGTACAACCCAGGAAAGTATATATTCCTTAGGCACAGCCTCAAGGATTCTCAGGGAGTCATCAAAAACGCGGTTTTATCACTGCCTCACTTTGCTTCCATGTGCTTGGACACCACGTCATCAAGATACACTTTACCAGGAAGAAAAAAACCCAACCAACCAAACTAACAAAAACCACAGAATGCCTACTTGTGAAATTGGTGTAACAACCAGCTGGTCAATTCCAGTCTTGGAGTTATAAACCTTCTGCTTCACAAAGCCAGGATCGACTACATAATATATTCCATCAATAGTCAAAGATGTCTCAGCAATGTTAGTGGCGATGACAACCTGCAAACAACAGTTTGATTCAGTACCAGTTCTGTCTCTGGCTGCCAAGCCAACCATGCTGCTGAACTTGAACAATCCATTCTACATTATACGAGCAGTTTGTTATAAATGCAACTACTATCATTTAACATCAAAAGGAGAAATGTGTTCACAAAAGAACAGAAAGAATTGTTATCTACAGTCAAAGATGGACAGGTTTTAAGTATCTAACCTGTTTTAGATTTGGGCAATACGGGAAAAGAGCATGATAAAATCTGTAATTAAAAGCAAGTGAAAGATCATTTTAAGTTTGTAAGCAGACTGCACTGACTTCAGGGAGAATTTTTGCCTATCACTCAAACACAGTCCATATTTAGAGAAGAACCTTCCAGAGATTATATCTCTAGATATTCGCTAGCTGTTTGGTAGGAGATTTACATTCATCCAACAGGAACCGCATTTAGATTTCACTAAAGTTAATATCCTTGAAAGGCAGCATTAAAAAACACACCAAGAACATTCCACACAGAGGTTTGCTATACGAGATGTTTTTATATACATTTTCAAAGGCTTAGGTAACATGTATAGGCATGGACGCAATCAAAAACATGCTCTAAGCTACATAAAAGCCACCTTTTCTCCAAAACTACATCATTTTATCTGAAGTTGTAACAGAATCAGAAGTGCTAAAAAAAAAAAAAATAACAAGTAGTATGATTAGCAGTGTAATGCACCCCACTATTAAAATGTATCAGCAGAAGACAAAGTCACACTTAGCTGAAATTACCTTTCTGCTTCCTGGTGGGGCTGGGTCGAAGATCCTGGTTTGCATTTCACTGGGTAAAGCTGAATATACTGGTAGGATAATTAACTCTGGAACATCAGGTCCTAGAGATTTCATCCTCTCATAGAGGATTTCACAGGCAGTGTCAATCTCTTCCTGACCAGTCAGAAACACCAAAATGTCACCTACATGGGAAGTAAATTAAAACATCCCCAGAATCAATTCTGTTCAATACAGCTCCTGCATTACCACATTTCTATGCCTCAACCTTTTCCATTTAAAGCAGAGGAGCCCCAACTTTTGCTAGCTCCTGGGCAACAACTCTTAGCCAGAAGCAACATACTTCAGTCTTTCATCCAACTTTTTCAGCATTTACTGTATTTGCAAACAACAGAGGATAGTGCTGAGAGCATTCTACTCATGTTACTAATACATGATCCATGACTTATATAAAGACCTTGCTCATAGGTATCAGAGTCCCTGAATCACCAATAACCCTAGACCATTCTCTACTCACCTGGTGGCTCTGTTAAGTGGATCTGCATTACTGTAATCAGACTGGCATCCAAATAATCTGTCTCCGGCTCTTTTGTGTACAGAATTTCTACTGGGTATGTTCTGCCAGGAATTGTGAAGATTGGAGCTTCGTAGAAATACTGAGAGAATTTCACAGCATCCAGTGTTGCTGATGTCACTATCAGCTTCATATCCTGCCGTTTCTGCACTGTCTATAGCAGGATAGAAAGTTCAAGTCATTTATTGCCTTTGGGACTATTAACATATGGCACTTGACTTAAATCAGAGAAATATGACCAGTAATATCAGGCGTTTTAATGTCTGTGTAGAGGGGCAGCTCATTCCAGTATCCAGAATTTCAAAAAATTGACCACTAAGGTCACACTTCAAACCTTTCTTAGCAGCACCTATCACAGAAAGCCTTTGTCAGAGAACGAAGAGCAAAGCAAGAACACTCCTCTGCTCATCCATCATTATAAGCATCCTGGACTGCCAATTCTCATTGTTTCTGATGAATTTTGCTTGCTTTGTCTTCACAGAGAGGCTTATCTTAGGAAAAGTTGGGCTACAAACCCTTATGAGCATTTGCTTTGCTTAAGAAGAGACTCTTGGAGCACACGAATGAACTTGACTTTTGTGACCCTGCCTCTCCCCGTGTGCTCCTACCCATAAGTAGCACACAGAGGACACTGAAGCAATAAAAATCAAATGCTACATTACCTTCTTCAGGAGTCCAAAGAGCACATCTGTATGTATGGTCCTCTCATGGGCTTCATCCAGCATGATAATGGCATACTGGGTCAGATCAGGATCTATCAAGCACTCCCTCAGTAACATACCATCTGTCATGTATTTGATAACAGTTTCAGGGCTAGTGCAGTCTTCAAATCGAATGGTGTAGCCAACCTAGAAAGAAGAGTTGCACAGAAACTGAAGCTAGAGAATTAAGTTATAAGCACCATTAATTCCCAGTTTGATTATTCTGCAAGCTCATTTTACAGCCTACAAGGAAGCAGACACATGGACACACAGGCAGCTCCAGTACTGATTTTTCCTACTTTTCCTCATGCTTATTTTGTCATGTTCTTCAGCATGGAAATTCACCTCTTGTCCCAAGCAGCAACCAAATTCCTCTGACACCCTCTTCGCAACAGACATTGCAGCCACTCTGCGAGGCTGAGTACATCCAATCTTTCCTCTTGACGTATACCCCGCCTCAGCCAGGTATTGGGTAATCTGTGTTGTTTTCCCAGATCCTGTCTCTCCAATAACAATCAGAATCTGGTTGTCATGCACAGCCTAGGAAAGATCATAATAGATACACTTGTCAAAATTTAAAAACAAAAAAACAAACAAACCAACCAAACAAAATCAACATAGTATATCTAGGACTAGACTGAGCACCTACTGCTCTTGCTCCAGCTGGCCCAGACCAAAAATCATACAAGTGTTCTTACTGATCAAGTCAGCAAACTGCTTAACCATTTAGCTAATTCATCCCTTGGCAACATGATCCTACTTTCAATTTTGACTTATTACAACAAATATCTGGAGCTTTATTAAAATATACAGATATATATAATCCTTTAAAATAATTATTCCAAATATATACAGTTCTGCACCTAAAATTATCAACTGGCTATTCACCTGTCAACAAGCTAAACCAAGAATATTTCTTTTAAGTTATTGCTTGCTCAAACAAGAATGCCATTTCAAGAGTCTTACCTGTATCAGCTGCTCCTTCAGTCTGAAGATTGGGAGACTCTCTCTCTGCTCAATAATGGAAAGCTGGGTCTTCTTACCATAAGAAGCTTTGTTGCCACCAAATGCATGTTTCTTCCACTCTGGAATGTCATTGGGCATCATCCCAATACCTCGCATGTTTGCAGCTATTTGTCTTCCATCCACTGGAAAAGAAAACAATTTTACCATTACATCTAGGCTCACACAGCACAGACCCCGATGATCCTGCTCCTATTGTTCCACCTTCTATGCTTGTGGTTTTAAGTATTTTTTTAAGTTCCTACATCTATACCCCCACTATTACATTAAGTTCAATGTAAAAAAATTGCTTCACCATCCATTGCACCTTTTAATGCATCCTTGACAGATCACAGGATATACCTGTACATTTCCCTTGACATTCCTACTTCCACTTTAGTAGAAAAGCATTTCTTCTTTGCCTCGCTTTTAAAATGAGGCAGACAAACACAGTATCAAGACATTTCTCCCGGGTTGCTCAACTATAACAAAAAAGGCACAGTTCACACTTAGATGTGTTCAGACACACCATCAGGGAGAGGATCCACCCAGTGTGTGTTGAGTCCCATAGGGATAGAATCCATCTCTGCTTCTCTCTGGGCTTGTTTAAGTTCTCGTCTTTCTTTAGCTAAAGCACTCTGCATCATTGCAGCCTGGGACAAGGAACCATCTGGATTCTGGAAAGCAAGAAAAAAGTTAAAGATTTCAAGCATTCCCAAGCCTTCAACTTCAATTATCTCTGTCATCACTGGCCTTTAGAAGTGTCTTCTGAAGACACTTTAAAAGATGTTAACTTTTTATCTATTTGACTTCCAGGATATTTCCATTAGCCCAGCCTCATGAACTTCCATGGTCATAACTAATATGGAGCATCCCTACACTGTCCAGACAGAAGGATTATGGGCACAACTAATGAAAAACAAGCATTTCTGCACCATCTTCTACTTTCAAAAGGTAAGAAAAAGCAGAACAGAGGAAGTATGTTCTAACACGCTTATGTGAAATAGTTTTTGCTGCAGGCTAACGCGCATTTCAGTTCTATGATTCCACTTCACTGTCACCAGTTAAGTAAGAATCCTGCTTTGTAAGTAAAGAAAGGAACTTCAGTTCAGTGGTAATGTTTTTCAGGGCTCTCAGTAATGTCCAGGTGGAAAACTGGTTATTAAATTCCCAAATACTTATTTAATTAAATCAAGTATATTGGTTTTAGTTCTGGAAATCTCTTACCTTTACTATTTTAATAGGACTCATATCCATGCTCTGTTTAGTATGACCTCGAAGAAACGGTGGCTCTTCTTCAACTAGCTCAATCTCAAGGTCCTCATCTAAATCCACAAGTGACAACTTTTATAGAAAAATTAAACATCTTTTTTTCAGGTACATAAAAGTGCCTTTTCAAACGGTGCTTCCTGTGCACTCTTGATTGTGATGTACTTATGATAGTTTCAAAAGTGAAAACACAATAAGTAAAAAGAATGCACAGACAGGGTTCATCCAAATGTCACTAATCACAAGGCTAGAGCAACACTAGTTCCAAATGTTTAAGATGACAGCAAGTTGTGAGCTGCTTCACACCTACTTATATCATCATCTCTTTTTGAATCACAACATGTCCAGAAACACAAGGAATTTACAACAACAATAAGACTACTTGGAAATATTACCTTCTTCATCATCAACTTTAGGAAGAATCCCAGTCTCCTCATCAAAGTCAGGAAACTCTTCCTTGGAAAGCACATTAGCTGCAATCATCTGGGAAGAGAGTGAATACAACACGAGTTTGTCCCCATGAACAGAACAACTCGTGCCTACGAGGTCTCGGTTCTAATGCTATTGCCAGGCTTGTAAAACAGGAACAAAGGAATGTTGTGATTTCAGAACAAAGGAATGGTCCTATATTCTGGCACACCTCTCCCCAAGTCATCCAGTCTCTGAGCAAATAGTCCTTTTGTTGTTCTGAATACCATCAGTGTCAGACAGCTGGCTTATACATGGCAGGAGTGCACTAATAAACAAATACCACCTAAGTGTCACTGGATAAAGATCATGATCCCCCAGGTCAGTGACCTCTGGAGGTTACCTAGTCCAACCTCCTGCCCAAAGCAGGGCTACCTTCATAGCTAGAACTAAGCTAGAAGTCCCAAATCACAAGAAGGCAGTAATTCAGAGGTAAGGAACAAGTTAAACAAACAAACAATCAAGGAGCTGTATTCTAGTTCACGAAATTCCCTAGCAATTTTACTGACTGACACCCTATTTACCTAAATACAAAACACACCTGTTTTATTTCCCATTTCTCTGGGTCTGAAATTCGGGTGAGGCGTTTCCGTTCAAGGCTATCATCCTCCACCTCTGGGGCATTCACCAGGGACAGGTGACTGGGTCTGTCCGGGTTTCTCATAGAGGTTTCTTCATTGGTTTCTCCAACCAGGTTTCTCCTCCGGTTTGGGTTCAAGTCTTCCCCAGTGTCTTGATCAACATCCTGCATTAGATTAACTAATCAATCAGCTCTACCTGTACTACACATCTCCTTATCTATTAACACTGGTGCTTCCTCTAACACAAGAGAAAAAGCAGAGTATATTTCTCAGAGAAACGAGTGCCAACAACAGCCCATACGCAGAAAATGCTATTTTGCGTGTGTTTTTTTCAGCCGGTATTGTGAGGTAAGTACACCCCAAGGCCTGGAACACTCTACTCTGCCTTGGCAATGGCAGTGATTTCATTTAAAATGAAATGCTTCTCTTATACTGAAAAAGGAAGACAAACATAGCAACAGCTTGAGGTTTGCCTTGTCACTTAGCTAACATGTCATGTCAAAAAATTGTTAGGAACATTACGTCAAAAACAAGAACCTACAGAAAATGAGTAAAAAGTAATAGGTCACAAATAAAAAAACTGAGTTACTGTTCTGTAACTACCACTTGAAGGGTTATGTATTAGCTTCCATCAGAAAGAGCAAAAAATAGCAGAGAGGCATAATCTTTAAAAATTTTGGCGCCACAAACTCTTATAAGCACTATAGGATGTCTTCCACACCTTCATGCTCAGGCTGGTTTTGGATCCAGTAAAGGATAACACTTTGACTTTTACTCTTTGTCCTTTGCTCACAACGTCGGCAACATTGGCAACCCGTCCTTCTCTTCGAAGCTCTGAGATGTGGACTAAGCCCTCCCAACGCTTCCTGTACGTGAAACAAACAGAGGGGCATGAGATGTTGTACATTATTACTCCAACAGTTCTTCAGATCATTCAGAGTCTGGATTAAAATATTTTTTTTGTCAACTGATTGTTTGTGTACATTCATGAAGTGTTTTTTATACGGAGAACATTCTCTACTGTCGAATTCATTTTTCTGAAACAGACCTTAATTTTGGCATCAAAACCCAGGATACCTTATTGTAGCCTCATGACCTCTTTAAGATACTAGCAGAGAAGAGAAGTCAGATGGAATAGTACCAGATTTATTGTGAACATCAGAAGGTACCTTAGTCCTTCCAGCTGCACAAAGCATCCAAATTGCATTATACTGGTGACTTTGCCGTTGTAAATGTCTCCAATGGAAGGCTCCTCAGGTGGCGGACGGTCTATGTGCTTGTCTCTCCATCTCTCATTGCTCTTCTCGATGTACTTCTCTCGATCCTTACGGTCCCTACTGGGACTCTGACTCCTGCTCCTTGATCGGTATCTGGATTTTCCCCTGTTCTTATCCCGAGTCCTAGAACGAGACCTAGAGCGAGATCTGTGCCTTCGTTTCCTGTCCCTGCTACGACTTCGACTCTTCCTCTTTTTCTTCACCCTAACAAACAAACATTACATATTTGCAGTGAGATTGCACATATGAACAGAGTAAGCAGGCAATACCAACTGCCAGTACCCATCCCCCAAAGACATACTAGAAACCTACCGGTGGTCACTGCTCCTTTGCTTGCCTTGCCTGTCTGCACTAGGCATCAGAGCTTCAAGTTCTTTAAGTGCATCAGCTGCCACCTTCACATCATCTTCATCCAGCATGTTCTGCAAGAACAGAGAATCATTCTGTAAGAAGGCTGATAAGAAGTCTGCCACAGAGATTTAATCTACAGAAAGGATAATCATATGCATCTCTATTTAGAAGGAATGTAAGATTAAAAAAAAAAATAAAAAAATCAGACAGAATACGTGATACAGGAAAAAAAAAGTAAAAAGCTATCCCCCTATTTTGCCAAAACATTGAGACAATTCTGCTTTTATACAAGACAGCTTCATCTCAACACCTCAAATTATTACAGAAATATAAAATGCAAGTCTCTCATAGCATCTGAATGCCCAAAATTTCTATCTAGTTTGTAACCCTACTACTTTAAACATTACGTGAGAAAGGCCAGGCTACAAATTTCACGTCACAAGACCCTCATCTTCCAGGTATTCTGCAAAACAGCATCAGCATGGCAATTGCTGTAACAGCTATTCTTGATAACTACATGCAATAACACCAGCCTTCTGCCTTTTTTGCATTTCATTTCTCATAGTCCACTTTTATCTACACATTAGCAGAAGACACTCAAATTAACACGAAAAAAACTTGAAACTAAACAAACAAACAAAAAAACAAACAAAAAAAAGATGTTTTCATCTACTCACAAAAGAAATCTGAAAATATGACCTTACCCTGATGTTGGGATTGTCTGGCCTGCAAAGGGCTGGAAACAATTCTTTCAACTTTTCCTTCTCCGATTTGGGTTTGACAACTGTCTCTGATTTTGAGATTTAAAACAAAAAACAGACAAAAAACTCCAAAACTTAGAAGAGCTAGAATGATTCACTCTTGATTTTTCTGTAATTGAATATAAAGTTTAACTTTCATCTGAGTGCAAAGGTTGATAGAGATTTTACAAAGATTCAATTCAAAGATTACAACGTTACCTTCCTAGTATTGGTGAATCTGTGAAATACATAATACTGTAAATAGTGTACTCGGTACATTTTTAGTGCCTAAACAGCTTTGCTAATCTACCACTAACAACAGAGAGGCTCCCAGTGCAACAATAAGATATGAAGTCTTGCCTTACAAGACTAGAACAGTAACTACATCAATCTCACCAAACACATTCAAAAACTACAAAAGACTAAGAGTTTTGCTTTTCTTTTTATACTGAACCAGTAAGAGGGACAAGATCAGGCGTACCTTTGCTCGTAGATGGTTTTGGTGGAGGCCGCATTGTCTGTATGAGACGTAGTAAATTACTAATAAGCGAATCCTGAAAAATTTAATAAAATACTTCAGTCTAAGAAATTACTACAACACTGTTTTTCATTATTAGAAGGCACACGTGAGGGTTGATTAGCAGGTCAAAAGAAGCCCAATTCTGAAGATGCACGTTCGTTTTTAGAAAGTATCACTGGACTTCATGTACATCCTAAAAACACATAATAAGTTGAATCTGAAAATGACCACAAGAATTCCATTTCTACTTGTTATTTTTAATCACCTATTTAATCAAACTACAGTTATTTCTGAGGAACTCACAAGCCCAGCATCTAAGTATCATATACAGACTTACGACAGCGTTTGCCTTCAGGAAAAGTTGTTTCTTCCATATTTTACATGCTCAACGAGACAACAAGCATGCTGTTCAAGTCCTCAGAAGAACGCTTCACAAAGACTACAAAAGTTTTTAAAAAAGGAGGGAGGGGGAGGCTTGGCTTGATGAGTCAGGAATACTCAAAAGCTAATTAGCGCATCATTTTCCAATTGAAGAAAACCAATAATCACTCCTCACACCTCTCTCTTCAAAACAAGAAGCTCTACAAAATCTACCAGGACAAGAAGAGCACATAAATAACCTTCAGATCTCACTCACAGTGAACTCGGCGCCATTCTTTAAAAGAACTGCCTTAAACGTGTCAAACGTAGTATTTTTCTCAGCAAGACTTATCACAAACTCGGCTGCAAAGAAAGAGCAGAAAGTAAGTTAGAACAAACAATTAAAAGGCAGTATAAGTACTTTGTATTTGGGCAAATGCTGTTCTCCCGGCAACCTACTCAGTCCATCTAGCTACAGAAAGGCTGTAACGCTGCTCGCAATAGCAGCAGCTTCCTTTCCGAGTCCTTTTGCAGAAGCCCCGATAGAAGTATTTTCTCACGCTCACGACAAGGTTTTTTGGAAGAAAAACCGCGGGGGTCTTCTGAATTCGAAAAGCCCCTTCGTCAAACGCGCCCCGGCCGGCAGAGAGGGCTACAACAGCCCTTCGCGTCGCTGCCGTCGGGCCCGTAACGCCGCAGGCGGGCTGCCGTGCCGCGGGCCGCGCTCGCCGCGGAGATCCCCAAAGGCAGCGCAGCCCTCGGGCGGGCCCGCCCCGCTCACCCAGGTCCTTGTCGTTGATGCCCAGGTGGTTGTCCAGCTCAGTGCAGACCTTAGAGACCAGCGACAAATACTCGAGCTTCGCCAGCTCCTCCGCAGCCACCAGGTCCGCCATGATTCCGCCCTCAGCCACCGCACGGCCCCACCCCTCCCCACTTCCGCATCCGGGGCGCGACGGAAGCGGTGAGGTTGCCGCGGGCGGGTCGCGTCGGCCCCGGTCGGCGGCAGGGCCCGAGGCGCTGGGGCCGCTCAATGACACCAGCTCCGTGATCCGTGGCGGACGAGGGAGACGGCGGGGCTGCGACCGGTCGGCGCTCTTGGCGGGGGGCGGCAGCCGGCCCCCCTCAGTGGCGAGAGCGGCAGGGCTACTCTTTTTCTTCTACGGGGATGCTTGCATCCACGCATGGCAGGCGCGGAGCGGGGCGCAGCCGTCCGGTTCAGCCGCGGGCAGCGGCCAGGGAAACCCTAGTCCCTGGTTTGAGCTCTGCCTCTTTCTTCACGTCTTCTCCCCGCGGTCTCCTGTCTGCCTCCATGCCCGCGTACCTGCTCTGAACAAGCCCCTGTGCGCAGGCAAGTCAGCCATGGCTGGTTGCCCAGGGCCCTTTAGTTGCCAACAGATGGCAACAGCCCAAGTGGGTAACAGCAGTATAGAAGCACAGCTGGAAACTCCACGGCAGGGGAGAGAAGAGCATAGCAGAAATCAACAATTTGGCCGCATTGGCTTTGTGTGGCAAGGTTGAGGGGGGGTTTACAGGGGTGGCTTCTCTGAGAAGCTGCTGGAATCTTCCCCTGTCTCCGACACAGCCAATACCAGCAGGCTCTAAGATGGACCCGCCACTGGCCAAGGCCGAGCCAATCAACAAGAGCGGTAGCGCCTCTATGATAACATATTTAAGAAGGGAAAAAAAACGTTGCTGGGACAGACAGAAACGGCAGCCAGAGAGAGGAGTGAGAACGTGTAAGAGAAACAACCCTGCAGACACCCAGGTCAGTGCAGAAGGAGGGGGAGGAGGTGGTCCAGGCCTGGACCATTCCCCTGCAGCCCATTGTGATGAAGACCATGGCGAGGCAGGCTCTCCGCCTGCAGCCCGGGGAGTACCCCATGCCAGAGCAGGTGGGTGCCCGAAGGAGGCTGTGACCTCATGGGAAGCCCACCCTGGTGCAGGCTCCTGGCAGGATCTGTGGAGAGAAGAGCCCATGGACCACGTTTTCTGGCAGGACTTGCAACCCCATGGGGGACCCACGCTGGAATGGTTTGTGAAGAACTGCAGTCCGTAGGAACAACCCACGTTGGAGAAGTTCATGGAGGACTGTCTCCTGTGGGAAGGACCCCACGCTGGAGCAGGGGAAGAGTGTTATGAGTCCTGCCCCTGAGGAAGATGAAGCAGCAGAAATAATGTGTGGTGAACTGACCATAAACCCCATTCCCTGTCCCCCTGCGCTGCTGGCGGGGGGAGGTAGAGAATCCAGGAGTGAAGTTGTGCCTGGGAAGAAGGGAGGGGTGGAGGGAAGATGTTCTGAGATTTGGGTTTATTTCTCATTACCCTACTCTGGTTGATTGGTAATAAATTAATTTTCCCCAAGTTGAGTCTGTTTTGCCTGTGCCAGTAATAGGTGAGTGATCTCCCCTGTCCTTATCTCAACCCACAAGCCCTTTGTTATATTTTTCTCTCCCCTGTCCAGCTGAGGAGGGGGGAGTGATAGAATGGCTTTGGTGGGCACCTGGCACTCAGCCAGGGTCAACACACCACATTGGCAAATACAAAAAGCACTGCAGAGAGGTGACAAGCAGGGAGGATTTCAGAACAGGACATGGAGCTTCTTCGTCCCAGCTTCAGGGAGGAAGCTGACTAGTTACCATTTTAGTGTGATCTCGATGATACAGTGAGGAGCAACACTCTGCAACAGCTCTGTAAGAGGTGCTGGTTTAGGAAGCATATTTTGAAGACAGGATCAGAGACTTTCTTCATTAGTCTTCAACTAGTCGATGCTTTGTTTGTGTCCTTCAGTGGGACAGATAGAGGAAAATGCTGAACTGCTGAGTAAAAACTTCAGTCCAGCAACTCACAGGCTCCTATTTTACCATCTAGAGTGCATCAGGCAGCATCTAAACTAGAACCTAAGGAATAATGTTTAACACCTCTGTCATTTGGGGGATATAACTGCCAGCCCTGGGAGGAGAGAAGGCTGCTAAGGCTGTTCCTCCTGTAAAGTCTGTTGGGTAGTTTTGCAGCTTTAGAAAAAAAAACAACCAAACAAACAAAAAAAACCCAAAACCCACACACCAAACCACCACCCCCTAAACCCAGCTGTTTCCTGGTATTTGTAAACTGAGCTTTTTTCCAGTCAGAGATGACCTCTCTCATGCTTGTTCACGTCGAAAGCATTAAATGCCAAAGCATACAAGAAAACAATGCAACAAACAGCATGCACTCGTCACCAAACACCACTGGCGGGAAAGCAGCAATCTTTTTAGTTTGTGGTACAAAATGCATTTTCTCCTCACTGAAATGGACGCCGTTAAGCAACAGCTAGTGGATGAGCTTGCTTTAAAAATACATATATGCAAAAATGCATATTCTCACCTGCTATAGTGGACAGCTTAAAACAGCAGTCACCCATGAGTCACTCTCACAAGGTGTTTTGGCATGACATGCAGTAGTTTTTCTTAAGACTCGAGATGGAGACATCAGTCCTGTTTCTTGCTCTCGTTGTGCAGGTTGTGCAAATGTCATTAGATTCTGGTGATGCAGATGCAATCCAGCCAAAAAGTCTCATCACAGTCCTTCTTTTTCAAGTTACAAAATACTTACATTCAGGACAGAAGTGCAAAATTATGCAAGGAGGAAACAACTAGTTAGTCTGACTAACAGGCGCTACCTCCAAAGTAGCAGTGAAACAGAGTGTGGTCCACTCCGATCAGCCACACAGAAACACCCTGTGCACTGGTCACTCTGCTGAAGCATCAGCCATGATAAAGCACTGAAAAAAGAAAGCTGCAATCTGAGGCAGCAGAGTCCACATTCACAAGGCCAAGTATGTTACCATCTTTGCATTAGAGATAGAAGTCTTATCCAGGAAACACCAAGCCTCCTGTTGAAGGCGTAGCTTGAGAAGAAGCCCCAGAAGTTTGTCTCCCTGTGACTTGCCTTTGTACTGGAATATGCTGCACCCAAAAGCTCTGTCAACCTGGCCCTGTCATGGCACACGGTGGTACAGCGGGTGAGGTAGCGTGGCATTCCCCCGGCAGTCCACATACTGGTAGTCTTCAAAAGCCAGCTGCTCTGAATGACACAGGTATGTGCAGGTCAGTGTACCCCTGCAAGGCAAAAGCAGACCAGAACTGCACTTGAGATTGTCCCAGATGAGACATCTCATAATGTAAAGGTCCCATGGCGAGCTCCCACTGCCATCCTGTTTTGTCCCTATTACACAGCCCCAGAACACAACAGTCAAGATACCCTCGCAGCTCAATTTCACATGTTGGGGAGGGAAAGCACCTTTCAGACTGCATTAAAAAAAGCCTTTACAAGATCACTGCCATCACAACAGATGCTTTGGCCATTCTAGAAGCCCATTAAGACCTCCTAACCCAGCATAACACTCCTGTGCCATTTCACTGTTTACATGTTCCCAAAGTGCTAGTACAAGTCACAGTGGGTGGCCGTTTATGGAGTTAGCTAGACAAAAGCATGTATCTTTCAATCACTGTCTTTCTGTGCCACCTCAAGAGCTATTTGCATCAAGTAGCTTCTCCTAACACTACACAATCCATCAGTGGGTAATATCAGTTTCTGGCTAATGGAGAGCTTGCAGGTAGAGAGAGCAAAGGTCCTGTCAGCCCACAGCATCAGCTAAGAAGGACAAAGTTGCCTTAACAGCCAGAGCCATTCACTGTGCTGTCCAAAACGCACCATTTTTACCCTGCTTCGAGTAGTGTGGGACTTCTTTCATACTTTACCTGTTCAAACTTCACATCACTCAGCACCAATTAAAAAAACCACCTGCATTAAGACCCATAAAAAACCAGAAACTTGACAATACAGCCCTTCAAATTGCAACAGAAGACCAAGACTTAAACACCTGTGTTTTGGGAGATCACCAGTGACATTTCTTTAGCGACCTGGGAGAATTCCAGCCTGGCATGCCTCTAAGAGATTCACACACTTTCTCCAATCACTTTTCCTAATATTCACAGTCCGTTTCCAGATGCAGCAGGTGAAGCCCTTGCTTTAGATTAGCACAAAAGACCATGATGCAAAAGCAGTTCCTCCTTCCTGAAAGAATCATGGACTCAGTGACAACAATCTGCAGATGGTGAACCTAGCAGTCCATCTTCCAAGAGTGGGCTCACAACCTGGAGTCTGTCAACACAGATGTGCAGGGAGATCCCTCTAGTGGACACAGGCTACACAAGGAGACAATTTCTGATGCAGAGTTTTCCAAATTGGCTTAAACTCAGCTAATGAAGACCATGCTTTCATGACTGCATGGAGGCATTCTAGCACTGCTATACCCTGTAAAAGCCTCCCTGTCTCACACACCAGATTTAGCTCTAACTCAGACCAGAACAGTAGCAACCTGTCCCAGCAGGAGCTATATTATAAAACTGCAGTAGTGCTCCTTCCTCCCTGGCAGGGAGGAACAGCCAACCTGAATTTGCTTTCCCAGCAGGGCCTCTCATACTGTAAAACACAGTCAAGCTGAGCATGGTCCTCTGGTCCATCCCGTGAACAGGAGCTGCCTCAGGCAGAAGAGTCGGCTTTGTCCCACCTTGCTCTCGGCAGCTGCTCTCAGAACACTTGGAGGCAATCATCCACACATCTGCACAGAGTCCAGGCTGATTGAGTCTGCACCCAACACCACAAGGCAGGTAGGCATAATCGAACTAGTCAGTACTTCTAGAGCCGGACTAAAGAATTACTTCCCAACAGCTACAATCAGCATTCCAGAAGGAAGTTTGCCAGGCCAGCTTGCCTTAAGCAACAGTGACAGCTAGAGCTGTCAGTAAGCCTGAATCCAGGGGACTTCTCAGAGCAGCAACGGCTTTGGAGAATTACCTCCTCCTCACACCTCAGCACACCTATCTGGGTAACAGCACATACACATTGTATGCAGTCCTGGTCTTGAAGAACATTGACTGCAGACCTTCTTGAAGGGAGTTGAGACACAATGTAGGTGACATGCATGTTTGTTATAGCTCTGAACCAGGCATCACTTACTGTATATGCAGCAGAACATTGTGAACTTTGACTTTTGTCCAGGTACAAATGTTACTACAAGAGAAGAGAGAGAGTTAATTTCACAAGAGCTGCCTGCACCATGTGTCTCCTGTCCTCAATTATTCCATTGCTTTTCTGCTTCTCCAAAAAGGTCTGTCTTTGCAATATTCTGACAACAGCTACGCAGGCAAAGTTCTTCAAGCACAGCAGTATCTACACCAGTAAAACATGTTTTTGCTGGTGTAACTCTAACTGTGGATCTAGTAAGCATGGGCCTCAAATATGCAATGGACTACCCTGTCTACACAGAAGCCTTTGGTTGCTATGAACTTCACACAGTTTGCTGGTCATTTGCAGAGAAATGCAGTTCATACAAGGTACCTTTAGCTGCTCACAAATAGAGCATTTAAAGTTGATAACCTAGACATTAAACTGATGTCATCACTTACTCACCAGAATGTACGGAAAACAACATTGTTGAGTCAACACTAAGCAGAAAATACCAATAAATAGAAAAGGAAATTAGTTTAAAATGGATGTGCCAGACTTATATCCAGATCAGCTCCACCTATTAAACTGAAAAGGGGACACTCACTCAGCCTCACTCTACAGACAGGACCAGCACAAGAAATCTAGTCATGAGAAGCCTATAAGCATTAACATTGCTTACTAAAAGGGAAGAAATCTTCTAGAATTACTCACTAGGTGTTGTCGTCCATTATCCTACTGGCCACTGTATAATAGATCTGCAAATACAAACAGAAGAGAAAGCAGGAAGTACACAAGAACTACAGTTAGGTTTCTATACAATTCAGAGACCTAAAGTAGTAAGAACTGGACTCTCATTAGGTGTCTGAGCCTGAATTTCAAGATCTAGCCTAACAATTATTTTTAACAGTCGGTAAGAAAATAGAATCAGAAATTAGATCTAAAAAGGCCTTAAAAAGGTTGTCTAGGCCACACACCTGACCTTTACACCAAGAATGGATCAGCTGTACTCAAACTGTTCCCAACAGGGTTTTATATAACCTATTTTTAAGCTTGCCATCATTTTAAGGCAAGCACACAACCCAGCCCACTACCTGAAAAGCAGACAGATATTCATTGCCCAGGAACGTATTAGCTTCAAACTCAGCAACATGTAAATTCTTGCAACACCCCTTCCTGAAGTGATATGGGGAAAGCTGCATGTGGAAGAGCTTTGAGTATTTGGCAGGCAGATGACAAAGAAGTAGATCAACTATACAATAAGCACCTCCCTGTCCAGGACATCCAGATTAGTTCAGGAGAAAATGCAAGGAACAGCAGAGCTCACCTGGCTGCTCTGCAAAGGGCTCATATTCAGCAGGGTTTTCATGGTGGTCTTCCCTACTACTAGGGACTGGTGCAAAACCTCTATGTCTAGCTGCACAACAGTGACCAGGTAGAAATTGTTATTAGTTATGTTCAGCATGTTCTAGGGAGAAAAACAAACAAACAAAAAAAATGAAAACACAAATCACCTTGCAGCAGGGCCGTATCTTACCGCTGCATAGCTACTTTAAAGATATCCCTGCTACGACCTTACAGCAACACTGGACGACATGGTCCCTTTCAAATCCTCAGATGTACATCCAGCCTGGCCACAAAGGCATGTACACTGCAGTATCTCCCATGACCGTCAGAGGGGGACAACCAAGCAGCTCAAGGATGCAAAAGAACAAGGATTCCCAGAATGAATCACAGTGCTGCTTCTACACAGCCCCTTTGGCCACTTTGTGACTTGCTCACTCACAGCCAGGCCAGCCACACCTCTGATGCTGTAACACGCTCTGGACATTGATTCCAAGCAGCCAGAGAGTGGACCGAGACAGTGGGAATGGCAAGACTAACTTCAGACAGCGATCAGTTAGCCTACACATGGAGTGGCACAGGAGATAAGCAGGGAACCCTCCAGATCCACCCTTTAACTGTGAGCTGAGCACTTACCGTCATGTTGAGGCATATACTGGCGGTAGTGGCATTAAAGCCAACAGAGGAGGCATTCAGCCCTGCAGGCAGCACAGTAACAGAGCGAGGAAACAGGAAAAAAATACTGAGAGATGTTGTCAGCAGGCAAATTGTCACAGCAACACATACATAGAGTTTCCTGCAAAACAGCACCAGGGCCACAATCATTCTCTTGGTTTGTCAGCTGCAAGCACCTGCAGTTCTGCTCCAGCTCAAAGGGAGGAGACAATGAAAGCTTGGGTGCCAGAAAACTGGGATGGGTTTGTGCAGAACTATTCGCCAGCTATCAAATCACAGCAGAAGCAGGGTAGTCCCTCACATACTGACATGGTGCATTACAGTACAAATTGCTGGAGATCCCCAACAACTGCACGCAGAATACTGTCCAACATCTGCTATTGCTGAAAAGACACAGCAAACACCAAACTTAATGCAAGACAGATCACAAAGAGCAAAACACCTGAAGGACTGAGGCTTTCGTTCATATGCACAAGAAACATTCAAAAGATGAGAAAAGGGGAAAATTTAACAGGACTTACGTTCGTCTAGGCTTCAGCCTCTGGTCACCATATGGAATCAGTGCCACCAGCTGCTTCTCTTGCTCTGGAAGAGGTGGCAGCAAATCAGAAACCACACTAAGCACACAAGTAAAGCAAACTGCATTGCAGGATGCTGCACAGCAGCCTAGTGTCCATCTGCACTCGCTTCACAGGTGACACTGTCCAATTAGAAGGCAAGTGTGATGCAGCTAAGATTTCAGTCTGAGCGTTCCCATCTCTAGGCAGAAACAACAATTCTCCAGGGGCTCCAGGGTGGGCTTTGAGTAATCACCTAGAAACAGCACTACCTGCCTTCCCACCCCATCCTCCTGCAATAGAGGCAGCCCACAGAAGTCACAAGTGAGCTGGAGGTACCATGACAGGACGTTCCTAGACTGGATACAATAAAGATCAACTGATTCAACAAAGGTCTTTAGGCAAAGAGACATGTACCAACCTCGGAAGGCTCAAAAAGCACTGACAGGGAAGAATCACCTACCCCTGGGGATCCTTCCTGTTCCCTGACATGTTGGACAGTTGACACAGCTTTGACGTGCAATGCCCGCACAGGGTGCACAGGATGTAGCAGAGTCATTGATACTAGCATAATTGGCGATTTCGCCTTCAGCATCCAGTTGCCTGGGTAAGATCAGTTTGCCTTCCCTCTCCTTTTGGTCAGGTGTCTTCCAGAACGGTGAAAGTTTTCCACCCATGGTTGAAAGAATTCTCACTAGGTGTCCAACACAAAAATGCATTAAGAAAATTGTCTCTGTGAACCAACCTCCAAGAGCAGCACCATTAGCATTTGTAGTAGATCACAAGTATCCTAACGTTTAGCAAGTTTCTTAAAGCACAGCTCTAATGTTGCTTTAAACGTTCAAATTTAAACATTTGTATTTTAAACATTCAATCTTCTAGACACCCTGGTTGCAGAAAAAGTGTCTGAGAATGCCATGCTATAGAAGAGCATACCAGATTCTTCTTTATCTCTTAGTATTTTGTAAGAGAGGGGAAACACTGACTCAAAGCTCCTGAAGGTTTCAAGATGACAACATAGCCCAGAAGAACTGCCAAGTTCTTGACTGGTCATTATTCACCTACATTCAACAAGGAACTCACCTGAACATCAAGGCCTTGGCATTCCCAATCAAGCACAGTGTTACTAACAGTAACAGCTGCCTGACTAAAAACAAATAGTGTGCAAACAGAATCTAAAAATAGATAAAATAATAGAATCTAGTCTATTTTAAAAGTTAAAAATACAGTTGAACTCATTTTCCTAGGCTCCTGACAATCAAAAATTTTTACATCAGCTCCTAGTAATCCTCCCAAAAGCATTAACGATACCAAGCTGAGGAAGAGCATCTGTATTTTCATCACAAAGACATCAGCTGAATGCAGTTTCCTACCTGTGCCAGTCTTTCCTCTAGGCAGTCTTGTTTCAGCAACTCAGATATAGGTAGGATGTTTAGCTTTGATAAACCGCAGCTTCTACATTTGCCCAGATGATCCAAAGGCTTTGCATGAATAACTCCTCAGGGCCCTATTATAAAACATACTGGGGATGAAAATCACTGTCTGGCAGTAGAGAGCCACCATGACAGAGTTGCACAGCATAGGGCTCACTCCACAGTCCACAAATCCAAGCCACAACGGCAGGACATGGGCTGATCCCAGGGGCAGCTGCTGTTCTTCTTGCTGACAACGGAAGAATCAGGATCTCATTTAACTAGTAGAGGTGGACACACCTGCAGGATTGCTCATTCAGCCCTGGAGGACCACAGAGGGACCTTTCAGCAGCCCAGTACCCCAGACTATGAAATTCTGCAAGACACTGTTTGGAGGCTCAAGGTAATTCAGTGTTCCCCACCCTCTTGGGGCATGCAGAGGGAAAGGAATGACAAAGATGCCTGAAGGATCTCAGCTTTTCTAACACGGGAAGGGCCTCATTATATGGTACCACAATGTGCCACAAGTCCCCATCTCTGCAGTCTCTTGAGGACCTCAGGCAGCGAAGCTGCAGCTTTACCTACACCCTCAGTTAATGTTTACCAGCTTTTCAGAAACAAGCAGGGAGGAGGAGTGGCAACCTTTTCACAGAACTGGGACAAAAGCCAGGAAAGTCATGAGTGGGTAACAGAGAGACCAAGCGAAAGGCACAGTGGGTGGAAAAGTTTAACCCCTTCACGTACTGCCCTTAGGCAGTCTTTCAGGTTCACTGAACCCCTGCCTCACACACCACTCTGGTACCACCGGGGCGAGTCCCGAGGCCCGCAAGGGGAAGTGGAACCCAAAGTCAGTAACGAACGCGAGCTTCGACAAGGACCGACCGGCGCCCTGCTACCACCGAGCACCCCAGGCGCAAGGGCCGCCACCGGCTCCCGCAGGCCCGGGTCGACCCCCCCCCTCACCACCCGCTTCTCTTGGTCC